GGCTCACACTGGCGCTCTGTCCCCCAAGGGCCGGGGGCCAGGCCCGCACAATCAGCTTCTCAGAGCCGGGACCGATCCACTGGGTACTGTGCCAGTGCCCCTCGGAACGAAAGCTTCCGAAATCGGGGCTGAAAATACATGATAAGAAAGAGGGGCACCCTGAGCAGCAAGACACAAACGCTGGGGGGTGGGAGGGTGAATTGAGCCAGAAAACTTGGGGGACACGGTGAACCTTCATCCATTTTATCTGCAATTAGGGGCTGCGGTTGGCTGGGCTGTAGGGTTGAAAATGACCTTGCAAAGGGGCGTGGGGTGCAGCCAGGAGAGGACCAATGAGAGGCAGCAGGGGCGGGGCCTTCCCAGGCTCATCTCCTCTGCGCAGGGCTGACCCGCCCACTGGTCACTGTGTCTTTGTTGGTTGTTCAAAGAGGGAGTTCTCCCACAGCCTCCCTCCTGTCCCTGGGCCTCTGCCTGGGCCGCGGGCCAGCTGCCCTCATCAACCTTGTCGCTCAGCTTGGAGCCGGCGACCTCTTTCCTCACACTCGGGATTTCAATCAACGTGACTTTTTAAAAAATATATGTTTTTATTGATTTCCAGGAGCATTGGCCCCTGCACAGAAGGCTGTGGGTTCGATTTCCAGTCAAGGATGCGTACCTGGGTTGCAGATTCGAACCCCGGCCCTGGTCAGGGCCTGTGCTGGAGGCAACCAATCCATGGGTCTCTCTCACATCAATGTTTCTCTCTCACTCTCTCCCTCCCTTCCCACTCTCTCTAAAAAAGTCAGTGGAGCCCTGGCCGTTTTGGCTCAGTGGATAGAGTGTTGGCCTGTGGACGGAAGGGTCCCAGGTTCGATTCCAGTCAAAGGCACAGGCCCGGGTTGCTGTGGGCTTGATCCCCAGTAGGAGGCATGCAGGAGGCAGCCGATCCACGATTCTCTCTCATCATTGATGTTTCTCTCTCTCTCCCTCTCTCTTCCTCTCTGAAATCAATAAAAAATATATATTTAAATGTATTTTTAAAAAATCAATGGAAAAGTATCTTAGAGTGAGGATTAAAATAATAATAATGACTGTGCTGTGAAGTACTCAGGCCTGTACAGAAGAGTGACAACATAAACCAGTAATTACTGCCTGTGAGCCTATTCGAAAATGCTCACTCACAAAGGGAAAACTGAGATAATTTCATAATCTTTTAATTTTTCTATCTTCCTTTGGCTGAAAATGGGACATTGTTTTGTCCGAGGTGGGAGATGAGAATACATCCACAGCAAGGCAGCTAGTTCAGAATCAGAAATCAGCCAGGAAAAAAAAAAAAAGGCTAATAAGCATGATTTTAACTCTTATTTTATTTTGGAGTGCCTTTAAATACACGAAGTAATAGACTTAACCTGGGCGTTCACCCATTAAAATCACAGTGAAAGAATATCGTTCAGATAACACAAGGCATCACAGGAAAACAAAACCCAGGAATTTTCATGAAAACGAAACACTCAACAGAAGGCAAAAGACTGGCAGCATTTAATAGCTGCCATTTTACACGTCAACACTCCGAATCCCGCCTCCAAGTGACACGGAATATCAGCCGTCGTCAAGTAGGAAACCTAAATCTATTTCCATTCATTACGCAAAAACGAAATAAAAAGATCCACATCGAAAACCTCCAGAGTGAGAAACGGGTTCGGAGTAGAAATTTCAATAGCGCCATTAGCCACGCGAAGGATTTCAAAGGCGGACGCTGAAATGGAGAGGAAAGAGTTGGGGGACTTGGGAGGAATATTAATCCTCTGATTATCGGAGCTGTGGGAGAAGAGCTGGATGACAAGAAAGAGACGCCGTCGGTTTCACGGGGGCAGCTCGGCCTGCACACGTGAAAATGGCCCCAGCTGGTGTGGCTCAGTGGGTAGCGAGTCGGCCCGCGGACTGAAGGGTCCCGGGTTCGATTCCGGTCAAGGGCACGTACCTTGGTCGCAGGTTCCCCGGCCCTGGTCGGGGTGCGTGCAGGAGGCAACCCATCCATGTGTCTGTCTCTTACATCGATGTTTCTCTCTCTCTCTCCCTCTCCCTTCCACTCTCTCTAAAAATCAGTGGGAAAATATCCTCGGGTGAGGATTTAAAAACACACACACACAAAAGGGCAGAGAACGAGAAGGCATTGCCACCCAGGGTACCACAGCCCGGCGGAGCCACGGCGTCCGGCCTGCGGGACGGTGGCCAGAGCGATGCGTTCGTGGGAGCCCAGCGTCCGTGATGAGGCGACGTGGCCATCGCTCATCTCTCATCCCCCCTGTCTCCCTCTTACAAACATGATGAATAGGGACAGGGGGTACGAGACCTGCAGGATGATGCGGGTTTGGGAGCCATGCACGTGGATGGGCCAGTCTCCTTGTCCACATGATGCATGAGCTCCACATTCACAGGCCGCCGTGAGTTAGCCCAGCCCAGCCGCCTCTCAGGGCTCTTCTCCCCACACAGCCGGCCCCACGGCCGGCTGTCCAGGATGGGGGGCCGGTTTATCATCTGCTAAGTCTGTCCGGCGTGGTGTCACCTGCTCACCTATCCTTCTCTCCATCCCTCCCTTCAGGGCCCCGTTCAGATGGCCCCAGATCCGAACAGATCTTCTCCCGTAACGCCTCGTCTCTCTGTTCTCCCATCTGCGACCCCTGCAAGCGTTGATTACGCTAATTGCCCGTGACGTCTTCAATGGGGGTTTGATGCCTCACTTGTATCTGTCATTTCTCTGCCAGGGCCCTGTCTTCTTATCACCCCATTCATAATGAGCACCAACAATTCCCGCTTGTTTGTCAACATTGTCTTCTCTTAGATCTGTATGAAAGGCTAATAGGCAAAGTGTCCCCTCGGGAGTTCGACCGGGAGACCGGAGTTCGATCGCTCGCTATGACGTGCGCTGACCACCAGGGGGCAGCACAGAACAAAGGAAGGCCCCAGTTGGCAGCCAGTTCAGCCCTGATCGCCGGCCAGGCCTAGGGACTCTACCCGTGCACAAATTTCGTGCACCGGGCCTCTAGTTATCTCATGCAAGGTTTTACTGTAGCCCGACCGTGGCGGCTCAGTGGTTGGGCGTCGACCTATGAACCAGGAGGTCACGGTTCGATTCCCGGTCAGGGCACATGTCTGGGTTGCAGGCTCGATCCCCAGTAGGGGGTGTGCGGGAGAGAGCCGATCCAGGATTCTCTCTCATCATTGATGTTTCTCTCTCTCTCTCTCTCCCCCTCTTCCTTCCTCTCTGAAATCAATAAAAATGCATTTAAAAATAAAAGAATAAGGGTTTAGCTCGAGAAGGGCGGGGGCAGGAGGGCTGGACATGGCCAGTGACAGAAAGAGGACGTTGTGTGGGGGGCACTGTTTTAGGAGATTGTTTAATGTTATAATTATCAGATAACAAGGGGGCCCCCCCACATATAAAAGCGTTGCATTCTTTCATTGAAGAAAAAGCAGCCCCATGAATAGTGTTTTGCTCTTATGTTGTAGGTTTGTTGTAGTCACTCCATGCTAACTTGGTTTTTTTCATTTTAGACATTTTTTGAAACTTCCAAGTATGTGTGTGTGGTTGGTGGGGGGGGGGAAGACTTTGGGTGGAAACACTTTGAATTCCATCAGGACACATTTTCCCGGCATTATCTGCTTCTTAAAAAACAAGCCAATATCATCATTTATAACCATAACCCCGAAGGCATCTCAGTTGCCTAAATAGATAAACGAAATGAAATGTACAATTTGCGGGATCTTTAGCCGAGTGCTTTAAACACC